AATTAAGTTAAATTAGGAATTTATTTGCTTTTGTATCAAAAGTCATCTCGAGTGCACCTGAGAACTAATGAAGGGTTTACTTCCAAACCCTTCATTAGTTCTCAGGTGCACTCGAGATGAAGGGTTTGGAAGTAAAGGTAGAGAGAGTGATAAGGATTGCAGTCGTACTGTGAGGTTACTGGGAGAAAGAAAATTTAATTCACAACTCTGGATTTTGACCTAGGTGACATATGATAACAAACTGAATGGTTGAGATCTCATGATCTACCACGCTCCAATTCTGAGCTAATAAGAGTGTAGATACGCTGGTTAATTTAGGTGACAAAGGGAGTGAAGATTTAGGTAATTTAGGCGCCTTGGTAAACGATCTCCCAAAATAACCATGCCTGCACATGAGTATTTATTAGTACGAGGACAAACATATACTTTGTCCTCGTACTGTTTTAGTGTAATGTATGATTTAGTATTCTCAGACAAAGCTAAATAGTGAGAATACTAAATCATACTTTTAGAGATTGTCATTACTAATTGGAGTTATTTGCTTGATGGGACCCCATCAACACTTAAATTGCTTGATGAGATCCATCAAGTTTCAGTTTACCCAATGGGATCCCACCGACGTTTTGCCTCACAATGTTCTAGTATGAACAGAAAGTGTAATGTGTGCGTGAGTCTCACTTCGTGTTAGGTTGGGCAGGTGATACTTCGTTTCACAACGATGCGGAGGAGTAATATCATATGTATAGCACATTGACAATCAATTGACTCCAGACCTGTACGCGGCATGTGCTCCAATTAGCCTCTTTGACGCAACTCATCCGCTCTGATTCATCTCGCGTGCACCGTCCCGAGGAAGTAAGAATTGCTTCCCTGACAGACATCTAGCTCCGTCGATGGGTGAATCCGGCACAGGTGGTTTCGAACACCGATATTTCCTCGTACATACGAGGCTCTCCGCTTATGTTTTGTTAAGGGAAACAGACATATCAGATTTCACACCTCTTGAAAATCGTAGATTTCTACAATTCAACCCTTAGGCAGGAACTCGGAGGTAGCCTTCGATCACCGCGATCGAGCAAGCAAAAAACTGAACCCTCCTACTCCTAAAGCCAGGAGCGGGCCCAGCACAAGAATATAAACGTACTAGAACATCTATTAGAACTAACCGACGGTGTGCCGTCGGTTGGGGTTCCATCGGATAAATTGAAACTTGATGGGATCCCATCAAGCAAATATCTCTTACTAATTGTACATGTGATAAAATTTCTATTGCATACATAATTTTTTGTATTGAAAGAGAAATCTGTGATAACATTCAAGATTTCTCTTATTATAAGATGATGCAGAAAAAGCATATCTTTGTTCCAATAACATTGGAGTGATATTGAGCCACGGATGCAAATTTTGACATGTTAATGAGGAAGTGCACCAGAGCTTATTATACTAGCCCACAATATATATTACCTTTTTTCACCTTTTGTTTTAGCTTACTCTAGACATTTTGTTTCAATTGTATACTTAAAAACTTGGCTAGAGCCACAAATAAGGTGATAAGATGTGACATCATGTGCTCTTCATCATTGATCTTGATACTATATCTGTTTTGTCTCATTGCTACACTATCAAGATCTAGATTTTGGTCTCTTCTTTTACTTCTTGATAGACTTGATGGGGTATTACTTCGCTTTTATTATCCATGCATCACTCCTTGCTCTTATCTATGGGCTTTTCTTCTTCCAAAGAAACCTTTGAATGAAATTAGCAAAAAGCCGTTGATCTCAAACCATAGACTGCTTCCAACTGGGAATTGAATAGACTTTTTTGGGGACAGAGGCTATGAAGAATATTATTAAATATATGAAAAGATACTTATATATGAGATATGCCATATAGTATCTATCTAAAATTAGTTCTGTTTCTCAAATTATACTTAAAAATCAGGCGTAATTTTTTAGATAAGTAAAGGTGTGAATATATGAAATGAAATTTATCCTCGAAGATGTGGAAACTGAAATCACCTAATTAATGGTTTCACACTTTCTGAATTTCCATAATTATTAACAAATAAAATTTAGAAAAAAATATTTTAAAATATTGAAAAAAAGAGCCAATGCACTGAATCCCCTATCTCAGCACTGTAGATTTTCACTTCAGAAAAGGTATAAGGTGCGTCTATAAATATTCTTCTTTATACGTTTCAATATTTTAATATCAAAGAAAGTACCAGTAACCCAATTGACAACAAAGGTCAACTTACCTGTAGTGAGAGGCTAGAATTTATACTACCCAATCTTGCTGGTCCTCCAATGTACCGCGACACCTGCTAAGAGGCGGTACTTTGATCGCTTTTTGCATAACTCCTTTTACACAAGACTCTTGAACCATCAATCCCTTGAGTCTTCTGCCAATTATTTTTGGCTCATACTCGTCAATCCATTGCGTTCCTTCGTTTCTTTTCCTCACTTCTTACATCAAAGTGCTTCAATTATAGCTTATGCTGAAATATTCTCTCATATTCCACCGCTGACAAGAAAAACTTCAATTGACAGGCCTTATAAGTATCAAGTTAGTTTCGACAACGAATTGATATACATCAATATTTCATCGGAGAATAAAACATATAAAAAGACGTATATAGAGAATTTGATAAGAAATATTATCAGGTGTATCTAGATTCATTTCATACAGTGATATGTATTTATTGTAATCCAATGTTGATATATCCAGATTTGTATAGAGCTACATTAAGAATGAAATAACAAATGGCGATTTAGCATATGAAAATGTGTGTTAACACACATACATTACGATACGATTTTTTCATCCTTTACCATCTGTCTGTAAGCAAGCGACGAAGATTCTATTAATGTATTCAGCAGAAGGAAAAAATGAAGCGTAGAGGTGAGCTGCACGTCAGGATAATGGGCTGAAACTTTCAAATTAAAATACATTTGAAAATTATGCTTATAGCTCCAGCTGAAAGCCATATGTAACATATGGCTTTCAGCTGTCTTACATATGATATGAAAGACAACTGGATGGTCATGCAAAACATGGTCGAAGAGGGGCAATCATGGCTGCAGACATTCATATTCTGCCAAAGGCCTCCAATACTAGAAAAATTGCGAGAGGCAAACAAGCACATATACCTATGAGCATGGGAAAGTACAGACTCGTCACACTGAAGGTTACAGCTCAGTAACAATTGACTTATCATCAACAGCTCAAAATCTTGATGTCCATACAGCATTCATCAAAATTTGTGTCATCGACTCAAGTTGAGGTACACTTCTCTCACAAAGTTCGATCACACTAGGGATGACAATTTCATTAAACAGGTTTCTAATTTTAAACATACATTTCTTTGCTGCCATTTTTACCGACGGCGTATCCTATTTGATTTAATTTCATACACACTGGTTCATAAATTGCAGAATACCGTATTGCATTTAACGTATTGACTTCACAAGCAATATATGTAACCACGATAGTTGTGCATACAATCACTCGCAGAAGAGCATCAACTGCATCCACAGCGACCCACAAGCGGAAACAAAAGAAGCCATCTGCATCTACTCCCATTTACTTATATTTCCGGCTATGTTCCTCCCTCTACATAATTTGGATGGCACGTAGACCATGGAACACCAGCGTTACGAAACCTTGCCTTCATGCTGAGGAGGTTCAGTAGGCCCTTGCGTCGTGGACTGTTTTACTTCCGGGTAGAAAACACAAGCACACGAAGAGAGGGTTACTGAATTTGTAGATCCTGTCTGAATAGGCTCAGCCGAGCTAATGTATTATTTTCCTGCTTTTGCTGCAGTCGATAAATTTTCGTCGGAAAGTTAAGCAGATGTATGTGCATCAGAACAGAGACCGTTGCAATCTCCACAGAAGCTACTCTAGCAATGGTCAGTCAGTCAGGCGGGCATGCAATAAGCGGGTTACGAATCAAGTCAGATTCGAGCGATTCGATGGATGAAGGCTGTGGCTTTCAGCAATTGACCGGCGATACTTGAGAGGAAGACTATATTTATGATAAAATAAGCGACCCGTGTGCACCTTGAGGGCCGCCAGCTTTGAGTCCAAATGACAGTCGTTGGTTCTCTCTGCAAAGGTGGCGAAAAGTCGAAACTCAATGATCATCGAGTGCCGCAGATTTGCTCCTAGCCAAGGCCTAACAGACGAGAAGGGGTTATCTTTCACTGTCGAAGTGGTATCAGATATACTTAGACAGTGGAAGCAGAGCGAGAGCACGTGCTCGTGGAGAACAAACCCTAATCCCAAGATCGAGACCTCGGAAAATCAAATGAAGAACAAGATGATCAGACAAAAAACAAAGACGTGCTATATTCAGCTACTGGGAACTGGAGCAAGCTCATGGTAAATTCTGCACAGTCGGTCGGTCGGTCAGTCAGTCAGTCAGGGAAGGAGGGAGTCAGCCGGGCAGTCAGTCAGTCAGCTAGCAGCAAGCTAGAACTGAACAGTTAGTTGCTACAAATTCCTTCTTGTGAATCGCTAACGTTTTTCAGATCTCGGAATCCAATAGGCAGATGGATGGATCGGATTAAAAAATCCTCAGGCTTTCAAGTGCTCAATCAGAAGCCAGTGCAGGAGATGTTGGAAGTGTTACAATCCTGTCTTTCTCTCCATATTATATGGCTCATGTAAATCGACGCTACGTGTATAAAACGTGGGCTTAAAGCAAAACCTGAGTGTAACAACTAAATCTATGAGATCTAGGATTAGTTCGTAAACAGCACTGAGCGCTAAGTCCATTGGAGTTAAAAATGGGTTTCTGCAACCTCCCTAGCGAAGAAGGGATAACATCTATCTACTAGACTGTAGCGCCCCTAGGCGGTACGAGCTAGGCCACGGCCCTTGTATAATCTTGCACCAGTGGCCCATGGAGGCTCTGCGTCGATTGGCCCCGAAGAAAGACCCGTGACAAATGAAGATGGAGTCGAGAAGAATCATGAAAAGGTGCTGCTGGGGGTGCGACGACTGGGGCTGGCTGGTCCACCGCTAGCACGAGTCCAAAGTTGGGGCTGTCCGTAGGTTAATTTTGTTATGTTCTGTTCAGTTTTGTTCTGCTCTGCTCAGCTCCGGTCTGGCCTGGTCTGGTCTGGATGGTCTATGGTGATCTGATCTACAGCCCGGTGATTGGAGAAGCCGAGGGGCTGGACCACGAACATGGCCATCCTCGTCTCCTAACAACAAAGTTTTCCAGAAGAATTTTGGACCGGAGTCGGGTCGATGGGAGGATGAATGACCCTTGTTTCGGCCACTGGAATGTGTGAATGTTCTGGCCCCCCTTTAGCAGGTGAGGGTGTGCCAGCGCGCTTCGAGAACCGGTCTCCCTTCTGATACTGAAGTTTATCCCTGGTTCGTGACCGAAGTTGTTAAAATCATTTCAGTGTCTGTGCATGTCACTCGAGCTGTGCACGTGGAAAAGTCAATTCATCGGGGCCGGGGATGGCGATCTCCATCGTTTGCTGAGAGGGGCGAATGTTAGACATCTCGGTGACAGACTCTGTGCTCTTGTGTCTTCGAAAAACCCCAAGGACTGTCTTCACAAGGCCATCATGAGGATGTAGGATAAAACACTTGCACTGGACTCGACAGTCGCCCGCATTGGAATCATTATATAATAAAAATGGAACGCGATTCCTACACATCGAGACTTTCAAATTCAGTGTCCTGTTGTTGGCATTCCAAATTCTTCAGATCTGAAGACAGCTACGGATCCGGAAGTGAGTAAGTACGCGGGATAAAACATTTGAACAATCAAAATTTTGGTTTATTCTCATGGAGGTGCGCAACAGAGAAGAGAAAGCCAGAGGGTGAAGCAGGGCACGTTCTTGACCTTTGACCAAATACGGGATCTTCTTTTGACCACAAAAGACGAAATTCTATTCCGAGCATTCGCCACTTACGGGATTCGAAGAATAGAGGGATCACACCAAAGACACGGAGCAGCTAGCCGCCCATCGCAGTCTGTATGACTCTCTGTGGGAACAAAGTCTCGAACCGGATTTGCGTTGGAGGGAAGACAAAGAAAAGGCAACTTTGTCCTGGAGCAGCCGAGCGAGTTCATTCGTGCGTGAATCTGTTAGCCACTGTGGCTCAAGAGAGATGATGCGATAAGGTGTTGAGGTTTCACCATCTTTCCCACAAAATGAGGCCCTTGGATATATCTTTCGCAGAAGCTCTGCGTTGGCTACAGTCGCATCATCTGTCTGCGAGCAGAGCATCTTTTCTCTCTCTCTCTCTCTCTCTCTCTCTCTCCCCCCGCTCGCCCCTCCTAACATGCCCACACACACCCTCACACATAGCAGCACAACAGGCTGGGCATGTAGTTTACTCGTACGTGTTCTACAATTTGTGAGTCGGTAGTGGCTGCGCGTGCGTGCATGCTCTCGAGAACTGTGTTGTACGTGGTAGAGGAGGTCATTTCTGTACAACGGTGCTTCACTCGGTTGGTGGGTTAAACGAAGTAGTTTTCGGGAGCAGGATCAGCAGCAGCGGTACTTCTCTCTCTCACACACACACACTCTCTCTCTCTCTCTCTCTCAACTGTAGGTAGTGGAAGTCTTTGATAATCCTGACGAGTCATCCATTCCCACTGACTTCGGTGCTGCAAGAGCCACAATAGCCTGCTGGTGCTGGTGCTGATGCTGCTGGAGCTGCAAACGCGGGAAGTTTCTACCTGCGATGTATATCCAACTCGGTCCGTGCATTCTGCAGAAAGTTTTGGGATAAGCGTGTTACTCGATTGGAAATCTCTGACTCCTGTTATGGATTCGATCTACTCCTCCGTCATCCTAGCTACATCGTTACAGCTTTAGTTGGGGCTAGCTAGCAGAACCATGAAGCATAAGTTCAAATTGTCATCATTGAGCAGACCCTTTCAGCTGTAAAGTTGCATGTATGTTCAACAAAAGATGCTCTTCTGGAGATGAACAAGGGGTTAACCACCCGGTTCAAACTCTTATGGGCATGTTATATATAGTCGCGCTTTTGTTTGTTGCCCAGGACTCTTGAGTTCGGAGAAGCAGCAGCAGACGCTCGAGCATCATCAGCATCAGCGGAGCACGATGAGGCTCGACAACGAACGATATCAGGCCGCCTGGTTTGCTTGAGAACAGAGAGTCTATGGGATCTACCTCGTTGATGTCTAGCGTTTGCTTTGTGATCAATGAAATTCGTTCTGCGATGACGAGAAACTTCTCCACACTACTACTCCACCCCACTCCCCACTCCCCACTCCGCCCCAGCAGTGCAGTGGAGTCGAAGGCAGGGCCGCAGGCATCCGCATATGCATCCATGCGAGGGCCAGGAGCCCGACATTCATCGCACCCACTGGCTCGCCTCTGATCAGAAGGCAGCCGGCCATCTCGATCCAGAGAAAGAAGCGAATTAAATAGAAAATTAGAAAAGGGGCAAAAAAGATTCTCGAGGTCGTTCGTCGTATCAAAGCAAGGGATAGAGTCGAGGAAGATGATCCAGAGGATGTTGGAGGGACCCAACAAATTCGGTCCAAGGAAACCTCCTCACAGTACCGCCTTGGGGCCGAAGTCCGGAGAATTTCAGCGCATAAAGTATCTATGTCGAAAGAGGCGATGGATATTTTTTGGAGCCCCTCCGTCCCTGGACGCTGAGACTTGCCGGTGACCGAAGTTGGCCTAGCCCGTGGGCGCAACCCAGTAGCCACAACCGTTACGGAAGCCACTGGCGAAGTGACATCTATAAGTGGATAGTGTTGGCTCCTTCGCCCTGGCCGCATCGGTAATCAGCGCTCGCCATACTGGACAGGGTGGCTGAAAGATCACTGACACACAATCAGTGCATCGGTATTGCAGCGCCGACGCTAATGGCAAGGATATACCACGCGCAGCCCCGCAGTTCATTCCTTGCCTAGTAACTTTCGAGACAAAGGGGATCTTTCGACAAAAGTAGTAGTACCAGGATTATGCAGGGAATTTTGCAATGTGTCCGTATATTGTAGCTTTGCCATTCATTTTAGCTCAGCTGTTGCTGCTGCAGCTGAGCAGCATCCCCATCCCGTCCATCCCCCACTCACGCAGTCCCTCGCTGGGCCGCGAGGCCTGTACTATACTTTGCGCATCTATTTATGCTGCAGTGGCCGACGGCCGACGGCCGAGTGAGCGAGCGATGGAACATGGCTCATGGCTCATGGCTCATGGCTCCATACATTCTACTTGTGCGAGAGTTCTGCGACTTTGCAGCTTTGCCGTTGTTTCCTGGACACCACGCAGTACTACTACTCTACTCTTCGTATCTAGAAAGGACAGTGCAGGATCGGCCACCTTGAGAAGCTTTGCAACCTGCTGACCCGATTTGCTACGTCAGTGAATCTTTTGTTAGCACGAATGCATGCACAAGCGTTTGATGCATACATATTGTCCTTATTTCAGCAACAGCGTCCGCGAATTCAATACTGCCTCCCGGCCTCTGACCTCATGAAACATTCTTCATCCACCCAATTCTTTACTTGGCGGGCACGGCACCTTTCGGCTGGAATCACCCATATCAGCACCGAGCAAACTTTGCTTCAGACCAGACCCAACAAATTTTACACCTCGACCCAGCGATCATTCTAAAGGCATCCACCATTGACGTCGATCGCCCCGGGCGGGCAGAGCTAAATGGCTGAATTATGAATGGATCTGAACCGACTGTTTCTCCTCCAATGCATTCATTCCTGCGCTAGCGAGGCAAATGAGTTGCGATGCAATGTGCTGGGACCGCAGCAATGATAGGATGGCACGGGACGGGACGAGATGAGATAAGATGAGAGCTGCTGTAAAGCAACGAACGAAGGACTGCGTCGAGTGATCATCAAGAACATAAAGGCTTAAATTGCATTTAGTCCGAACCGGATGCATTTCGTGTAGAAAGGTATGCGCGAAGAACGCTGTAAAAGAGAGCTGCAGCAAATTTTTGTAGGCCTACGTATGATACAAGTGAGTAACTTCCTGTTTGTTATTGTAAAGGACTTCCTCTGTTTGATGGTTTTTTTTTTTCTCAGTTTTTGTCAAATCCTTCCTCCTATGTACTCCACTCAAGTAACCCCCCATGGCAAAAATTGACATACTAACTGCACAGACCCGACTTTTTTCTAAAAAAGTTGCTGACCGAACCGCTGTTGTAAGGTAGTGAAGGCGGAGCAGAAAGAGCGGGATGGCTGAAAATTCTCTCTCGGAGCAAAATGTCCACTACCTATCTGAGTGAGTGATCATTGCGATTGTACTCCTGGACCAGATCCAGCCGACAGAGGCCGCACGTCTGTCGGCTGATAAGGTTCAGTGAATTCCCCCAAGGAATCCGGTCATTGACTGTAGATTCCGTTGTTCGACTTGGGCGCCCAGCAGCTGCTGCTGCCGCTGCTGCCGGTGCGAGTCGCGAGCGCGCACGCATCGTCCACGAAGAGCGCCTGGTTGACGGGCGGCCCCAGGGCTGCGTGCCTCTTGAATTTCGATTCGTGCTGGGCCACCTCGGACGGGCTCAGGGCCGGGGTCGCCGCATTCGCAGCCGAGTGGAAGAAAATTGCCGCGGACTCGACGATTTCAGCGAAGCAGCCCGTGTCAAAGGCCCCGCTGCCCAGCTGCATCTGGATTGCAGCTCCGACCACTTTGAGCCCTCGCCTTCGGGCCGCAATCAGCAGGTACTGGCATACTTCGGATTCCGCCAGCGCTTTGTAAGGGCATTCGCTGGGAGAGCCGGGAAGTAGAGTGTGGAGGACTGGATCCGGCGCAGCCCCGTCCGAATTGTACGTGGAAGTCATTGCATTAGTAGCGGCGAATACTTTCATGATCTCCCGTCCCTTGAAATGGTACGTGATCTCCTTGACCAGCTGCACATTGCACGCACAGAAGACGTCTGCGCATTTCTTCATCGCCGACCTCTCGATCAGATCGCATTTGGCCGGTTGAATCAGCGGCATGACCAGGACAGAGGGCAGGTGTCGGGTCGAATTCTCGGACACCAATTCAAACGTGTGGAACACCACCACGCCCTGGAATGAGAGCTCCTGCCGAGTCGAGCCCACGCAAGTGTACCCAGCAGGTGCAACCGCCGCACCCCAGGACCCGCTCTCTGCGAATTCTGCGTTGTTCAGAAACACGCTCATGGCGAGTTTCGCCGGCTTGAATACAGACGCGACCCCATCCACCAGCTCCTGCAGATTCATCTCCTTGGGTCCGTAGCCCATGGACTCGTAGCTTGCGTAGCTCATGTTGTCTTCCGGAGTGACGTGAATCGTGGAATGCGCTCCTCCCTCCAACGCGTTCATCGAATAGCCGCACGGGGTGAACGCGAAGTCGCAGATGTCCGCGTTGGGAAGAAGCTTGTCAATGCCCGACGCCTTGGTCATCTGCAGGCCCGCCAGAGACCCATCCGCATTGAAGAATTTATGAGCCTGGGTCTGATCGAGCTCGGTCATGCACATTTCCAGCGTGAATGTGGGCTCGGCGCTGCGAGCCTCGGAGGCCACGTACAAGTGCCAATTCGGCAGCATGTTCAGGTCCCCGAGCACATACGCCTTTCCTCCGAGGTACCCGAAGTAGCGCTCCAGGTATTGGACCTCGTCCTCGAAGCTGTTGTGCGGAAAAGGCTGAACTCCTGGGAACATGAACGTGCCGCGAGTGTACTTGCACTTGATCGCTTTGAGCTCCAATTCCGAGGTGAACTCGAGCAGACTCGGGACGGCTTTGAGCAGCTGCGTCGTGCCGCAGGTTTTGAGAACCATCTTCAGAGGATACACGAAGAGACTCGACTCAGATAGAACGTAGGAGTCGCAGCCTTCACTCTTGAGCTCGGACACGATGGTACATTCTGCGTGTTTCAGCAATTCATTCAGCTGGGGTCTGGACAGCCTTCGAAGATCCCCGGGTGCTCGATTGCCGGAGCCTGGAGCTGGAGAGAACTCTATCTCCAGCCTCTTCTCGAACCCCTCGAACCCAGGCGTGGGTACAATGGCCACCATTTTCCTCACGATGACGACACAAGAAGCAAGAAACTGGAAATTCGTTCGCTCACGGCAAGTATCGGCGCACGTATCCTGAAAATTCTCCTCGTACAATCTCTCGGGAGATCAGCATGGAAACCAGGTGCAAGTCGTCAAGCCAGCATCTGTAGGCACTGCACCAGCAAAAACAGGCGGATTAGGGGCGATCAGGCATTCCAGTAATCGTACCATGTGCTTGCAGTGAATCCTTCTCGGGGGTGCTTCGTCAATTTTTATCACCCAGAATTCATGCGCAGCCAATCTGAGAACTCTCTGCAACTCCGAGCTGAATTCCTCTGCTACTCGACTCACGATTCAGACTCAAATGAAAAGGAAGCAGAAGAAGAGGCGAGAAACCTACTGTGGAGTAAGCGGCGATGCAAAACTTCTCCCAGCCGGTCGTGTCAGGTCGTAAAGCGTAGAGGGCGTCGGTAAGCTCGCCACCTAGCGACATTTGAATTCGAAGGAGATTGATCGGCTCTTGACCCGTCCATGTAACAATCGCGTTCTTCCGTCTGCACATAGATTTGCCAAGGACGAGTGTCAGAATAGACTCGCAAATCAGAACGAGTCTACTTACACTAGGTCACTTGGCATGCTCTATCGGTCTATCCCCGACACCCAGCCCTTGAATCGAGCAGACTTGCCCTGGGGCGACGATCGCTTCGAGCTCGGAGCGAAGGCGACTCCAGACAGCGGATGCGAGTGCATTTTCACGTACGAGGCTGATGGAGGGACGCCCGTCGCCGGTCTCCCTGTCGACTTCTTGTATTCCAGGGGCCCCGTGGTGGGCTATATCTTGTGTGACATAATGATCGGCACGTTTCGAATCTGCTCAGTGCGAACCTCTAATGAATTGGCCGGATGCGCACAGCACTCCAACTGCAACATCTATCTCGCTACCTACAGCCCGTGAATTACAGCAGCGAACATCCCAACGCACACAGGGCACAGGCACAGACACATGCATACTATCAACCTCGTAAGCTGTGCAAAGGCGAATACCCGGAGCTCGGATGCATTCCCTCCCCTTCCCTTCCCTTGCCTTCCCTCGCCTCCCCTTTGCTTCCCGTCGGCTCCCTCAGCAAAGAATCACAGACGCAGCCGGGGGTTTATATGGTGGGTCGATCACGAACTCGGGTCAGAATTCGGTAGAATCACATGGACTGCGGGACGTCAGCTCGCCTCGAGCTGGTGCAGGGATGGACGGTACGAGTGATCACGGACTCTCGGTGCATTTGCTCTGAGGATCTCCGTGCCTAACATATGGGATGGTGCGGTGCGGTACTATCAGAAACTCACGGGAATCCGTGAGCAATTACTCATCGCAGGCGCAGAGTCGGATTGGCAGTGAATGCATGCACAGCACTCACTCAGCACTCAGCACTCAGCACTCAGCACTCAGCACTCGCAGCACGCGAAGGCCACTGAACTTGCTGCTGCTGTTGCTGCTGCTTCTTCTTCTTCGTCTTCCTCTTCTTCTACGACGTCTGCCGCTGTGGGGAGGAGAATGTGAGCAGAAGGAACAAACGAACGTCGGATAGCTCTATCCTCCATAGACTGAGGGAGGCTGGGGTCCTTTTAAGAAAGGAGCCGGGACATCGCTCTGTGCCAGGGAGAATAACGGGTGACCGACGAGGGCGCGCGGGCGAGCCAAGCGGGCGACTCTAGGTACCTACCCTGCTCTAGGGACAAGGACCTGGACGCCCAGACCTCCGCCGAGCCACGTGTCGCGTTTTTGTTAGAAATCACTGTATCGCGTTTCTTTCCAACCGTAGAAAAACGCAAAGGTGTTAAAGACCCGCACGCCCACCCCGGCTCCTAACAACCTTGGCCTTCGGGACCGTCGGTCCCGAGCATGGCCCAGCCTCGAGAGTGCCCTTGGGCCTCGGCCTTTTTAGCAGTAGCTCTCATACTCTACGCGGATTCTATGGAGCCGGAGGAAAAGGCAGGAAAGAGTGGTCCAGCCCCGACTTGGCTACACTTTGTGCGCTCTATCCTATCATTCCTCTGGAGATCATATGGAATGATTCCCTTCCCAAAAGCCTCCGGCGCCAATTTAATATTTACCCCCGGGGGGTTATTTTTAGTTCCCTCCTCGAGGCCTCGCCCCCACCCCTTTTCTCCCTTTCCCTCTACATCCTTCTGCTAGTCGTGGAAGAAGCCGTGACTGCACACGGGATTGCCAGTGGCAATCTGACGGGAGGAGGCCCGCTTTCCCTCCCCCAATCCAGGTTCTCCCCTGCGGTAAATATTTTCGCGGGGGCCTCAGATTCCTCACCGGCGTGCGGGAGCTCGGACCAATTAGGATAAATTAATACGCATTCGGAGAGCATTTGCATGCGCAGGCATGCCTCTCGCGGGGAATTACTCTAAGCGCGCGAGCGCAAGCCTTTCTGGAAAAGTCTAATGCCATGCAAATTTCATGCCATGTCAACGGAATGTACTTTGTCGTCCCATTTTGGAGGAGACCAACCACAGGCCTTTCACCCCGGTCCCTTGCCGCCACCGGGTACCGGGTACCGGATGGGCCAGCTGGACCCGCTGCGCCCGTTTACACTGGACCTGGACCGGGACCGGGAGGCTGCGTCGCCCGGCCGGGCCGCCCGAAAATCGGATTTTTAGGTCATTTCTCTAGAGCCTCGTGATGAGTCCGCCTTGGAAGTGACGACGGAAGTATTATTGCCTGCCAGCCTAATTCTATCTGCTGGAGCGCCTAGGACTGAATCGCAAACTGTAGATGGAATTGGAGCGAGATGGATGTACATGATTGGGGCTGCTCCGCTGGCTGACGGAGATTGATACCGGACTACCATGTCGAGACTGCGTACTATGTACGCAGTCATGGGCATGTCCCGCACAGTACAACCCCAGACACGCACAGTACAGGCCCGGCAGACGCAGACGGCAGACCGCAGACAGGACGCAGTATGGGATGGCAAGCGAGCCCATGGCGATGCGGAACGGGGCAAGGTTCAGTGTTCTGAGGACAGTAAGGTCAGTGTTGGCACTTCACATGAGCAGTTCATGACAATGTGCGGCAGGTATACCTTGAAATCGAGGCCACGTTCACGGGTTACGTCCTGCTATCTGGTTGGATTGACCGAATTCTGGTGCCGTGGTTGAGCTGGTCACGATGTTCCAACCTCATTCGGGCTCTGTCCTCGACATACTGTGGTGAGACTGCAGGGTATTTACTGTGTTGGGCCTGACATCAGTCGCGAACCAAAACGGGTTCGAAGATTCACACATCCACATCGTCAGAAGCAAACACATGAACAGGCCACCGTAGTTTTATCACATGGTGTACTTCGGTTGAGGAACAGGCCACCGTATTATAATTACATGGTGTGCTTCGGCTGAGGATGAGGCTACCGTATTTTATTCACCTGGTGTGCTTTGGTTGATATCTTGTGAAAAGATTGTGACTTCGTACCGAACACTGTTCGCTCAATGATTGTGCGCTTGACTTCCAAGGCAAGAGAGTTGTGAAACACCATGGCAAGGTAGCGAAATGTTGTGTCATTATCCAATTGGGTTCATGTCATTTTCTATCTATGAGGGTTGGCGTGCATCAACCGCCTATATCTTATCAGGGGTTACCAACACTACGGTAGTAGCTGACCTTTATATTTATATAATCTTGTGATGTGACTAGCACATTCTTACTTCAATCACCAAATAACTAATGTCGCAAAGCTATTGGCTTACATCACTTTCATTGTGCATTGATTTATCATCGCATTCTCAGGTGTTCCGGTGACCATATTTGATCCAAGGATGAGGTTGATGGGCTTGAACCCCACCCCACCCTCGCGCGGCAGCCCCCACCTTCCTCTTCCCTTATCAATATACAATTTTAAGTATTACAAATTTCACTGTTAAACCGCGTATATATCTCGTCATAATAATCTCACATTGGACATGTTTAGTTAGACTTAATACCAATTTTCAAGAACATGCGAAAATAGTCTAGCTTCTACAACTCTTTTCTATATCAAAGCATTTGATTTGAATATAAATGAGAAAGACCGCCCAACACTAGCAAATTCCACAAGCATATGATCAATGCTTCATTTCAATCTTTTCCTCATTTTGGAAAGAGCATGAGACTATTTGACATCTTTCAAGTATAATGACTAATAAAAAAAACTGTATAAGTCATTTTTGCAGAAAATTGTATTTAAATTTTAAATCTCATATTTTATGTTATATCTGATAGTAATATCCAAACAAATTTCAAGAATGAAATGCTTAATAACCTTCCTTCAAGAACAAAAGATTGAACATTGCATTAAATTTATATAGATATTCATTTTAAACAGTAATGCATATAACTATAAAAATATATCAAAAAAATCAGGGTAATGAACTATATATTTTAGAAAAACTGAGTTTTCAAAGAACTGTTTCCAATTATGAAAGTTATTTATATCAAAAAATTGAGTAATTTCAAAATTACATAAAATCACCTCAAAATTTTAGTCATTATCAAAAACTTGTTATTCCATGTGAATGTAATAGATTGCTATAACACATAAAAAATGTGAATCTAAAAGTAAAAATAAATCAACTTTGAATCTAAAGATAAATAGAATTTTATCAAGATTTCAATCAGGATCTCATGAACTCATAATTTTTTCAGAAAAATTTCAATTAATAAAATAATAACATAAAAATATTTTATCTAAAATAAATAATTAAATCTTTTTTTTCCTTAAAACATCATATGTTAATCTTAGCATCTAAATCTTCTCGATAAATACATGCAACGCTTAAAAAATTAGCAATGTTTCTAAATAATTAAAATTAGAAACATTTCATATTTATAATGATATTATTTGAGATGAGATCAGATGAACTGCTGTAATGCTTTTAGAATCAACTTTGTAAAATGAATTCTTCCATTATCATCACATGCATGAAGTATGATTTCAGAAACTTTAATTCTAATAATTTACATAACACCCAAAAAAATGTTTATGAAAAACCTTCTACACACAACCTACTAACTTTTTTAGCTCCATGAATGAGTATAATTTTGTATCTGTCTAAATGCATGATGAACAAAATATGTCAAAATGAGTTAAAATTAAACATTGATACATCATCAATTCATTTAATTGCCTCAATCATCATGAATATAAAAATAGTACAGTATCAGTATATTACTCACATTTACAAGCATGAATTTTCCAATGTAATTTATATAATTTTAATTAATTAAATTTTTTGATTTAAATCTAAAATTACAATAATTTAATCAAAATTATAACTTTACATTACAAATGCAATAATAACATGCGCAATATTTACACGGCAATAATTAATTTTCAAGGGAATTTGAGAATTTTGGTAATATTGAAATGTTTTTAACTTCAATTTGAATTTAATATTAATACTAATAGATAAAGATTAATTATAAAAAAAATATTTCAGCGTTAAAAAATAAAAAATTTGAAATTTTATATGAAATGATGATTTTTTGTTTTAATCATTTATCATATTATAATAAGTCAATCCGAACATAAATTTATATTTAAATTACATATTGACTGCATAACAAGTATGCAATTATTTGCACCTTACCTAATTCAAATGTGACTTAAATATTTCAAACTAAGTTTATAATTTGAATGATGATTTTAAAACCAAACCATCATTCAAACATATTAAAACTCACAATTTTATTCGTCTATGAGCCTAAACTTACTTTGTAATTTTTATTGTAAATTTTGTTTTAAAAATTATTTAAATGTTAAAATGAAAAATTTTAAAAAAAATTGGAAAAAATTCAAATGATATTTGAAAGGTTTTCAATGCTAATCAAAAAATTTAAAATTTGAACAGATTACATTAATGTGCTGAAAATTTCAAGATGGATATAATGAATAGTTACATTTTGACATGTAGTGTATATGAATCAATAAAACATATTTCTATTTTTTTTTAAAGTCTAAACAAACTCATGAGTCATCATATACAATATGAGCATAATTTACTGTAAACATATGATTATATATTAAAATAAATACTATGAATATAACTCAAAAGACGAATATAAAATCTTCAGTTCACAAATAAAAAGGAATCACAAAATTAATCAAAACGTAAAAATTTGAGAGATTTAATTTATTTCACAGCTCTTTTATTACAACCTGTATTTGGCTTGAATTATTATAACTTATGAAGTATCAAAGTTTATATTTTAAAGATTAATTCTAATTGGACATTTTCACTAGTAGAGTTTAAATTCAGATAATTTTCAACTTGAATTTGAATAACAATAAAAAGACAATACATTTACCTTTTTATTCTTACATATTTTTAATCTGAGCACATATTACTATATGGCTATCTAAATTTTTTGTGACTTTGTGGTTAATGTTCCATCTCAATTATACTATAATTAACTTAAGATGAAATATTTAAAACCAAATCGAATTTGAATGATAAAGAAAGGTTTTTTACACAATTTCTTTTGATAAAACAAATAAATAAGATGTTTGGATTGTAATAAATTCTCTCAATTTTCTCATTTCTTGAAACTTATTTCATTTAATTTTTAAATACATATTATCAAATAGATATAAACTAAAATTCATACGCAAATTTTGTTTAAATTTTTTATCAAATCATATTTTTAAAATAAAATATTTAGAAATTATTTGATTAATAAATTTCATTTTAAAATTTTATTTATCACATATTATATTTTCTTAATAATATTTTAAAAAACCTTTACCTCAAAAAAATATGAGCTATACCTTCCATTTATATTTTTATAAAGATAAATTTAAAAAATTGAAAAATGTTATTTCTAAGCTTTTTCTAATTCCTGTTTTTTAAAATATTCTTAATATGAACACAAATAATTAAAACATGTATTTAATTTCTAGCTCCTTTCTGATATATAAAAAAGTCATGAAAAAATTTATAATTTAAAAATAGCTGTAGTTTATTTTTTACTTTTTAAATTTCATAATTTTATTCTTCAAAGTTTCAAAAAAGAAAATTTTCTATTATTTCATGAAAATCTCATTAATTTTAATCTAAATCTTGAAATTT